ACAAAAAATAAGTAAGAACACTAAAGCTCTAAATAAGGATCTAGAGTTCATGGGTTTAACATATCTATACAATACTAAACTCAAAAAAATCTGAGTACACATTTTTCTCAAGTGCACACAGATCATTCTCCAGGTTTGATCACATACTGGGACACAAGACAAACATCAACAGATACACCAAGATTGAAATCATACCAACCATCTTCTCTGACCATGAATCAATCAAATAAGAAATAAACCATAAAAACAAGAAAGGAACTCTCATGGAGATTGAAACCCACACTACTGGAAGACCACTGGACTAATGAGGAGATAAAAGAAGAAATTAAAAAATACTTTGAGTTGAATGACAATGAGGACACCAATTTCCTAAATGTACAGGATGCAGCAAAAACAGTAATAAGAGGGAACTATATAGCAATAGAGGCTTACATCAAGAAACAAGAAAGATCTCAAAGAAACAACCTAATCTCAAAGCTCTAAGAACTAGAAAAGAACAATGAAAAAACCCCAAAACCAGCAGAAGAAAAAAAAATCAAAGCATAAATAATTGAAACCAAAACTAAAAAAACAATCCAAAAGGTCAATGAAACCAAAAGCTGGTTCTTTGAAAAATAAATAAAATAGACAAACCCCTACCCAGGCTCACAAAGGAAAAACGGGACAAAGCACAAATAAATAGAACCACAAATGAAAGAGGAGAAATCACAACGGACACAGCAGAAATCAAAAGAATAATCAGAAACTACTATGGACAGTTACATGCAAACAAGTTCAACAATCTAGAAGAGATAGATAAATTCCTACAACTCTACAATCACCCAAAGCTAGATAAAGAAGAAATAGAACACCTAAACAGAATAATTACAAGCAGCAAAATTGAAATGGTAATCAAAAACTTCCCCAAAAACAAAAGCCCAGGACCTGAGGGATTTGCAAATGAATTCTACCAAACATTCAGAAATGAATTAGTGACTATCCTTCAAAAACTCTTTCAAAAAATTGAGAAGGAAGGGATAATACCAAACACATTCTATGAAGCCAACATTACACTAATACCAAAACCAAACAAGGGCAACACAAAAAAAAAGAAAACTACAGGCCTATCTCTCTAATGAAAATGGATGCAAAAATCCTTAATAAAATTTTAGCTATCAGAATCCAACAATGTATCCATAAGATAATTCACCATGACCAAGTAGGATTTATTCCAGGGACACTAGGATGGTTCAACATACGAAAATCAATCAATGTTATCCAACACATCAACAAAAAGAGATATAAAAAACATATGATAATATCAATAGATGCTGAAAAGCTTTTGAAAAAGCATAACACCCATTTATGATAAAGGCCCTTGAAATTCTCGGGATACAAGGGACATACCTCAAAATCATAAAGGCCATATATGACAAGCCCATAGACAGTATCATTCTCAATGGCGAAAAGCTGAAAGCATTTCCATTAAGATCTGGAACAAGACAAAGATGTCCACTCACACCACTGCTTTTCAATATAATACTGGAAGTCCTAGCCAGAGAAATAAGAAAAGAGAAAAACATACAAGGAATCCAAATAGGGAAGGAAGAAGTTAAACTATCACTATTTGCAGATTATATGATAGTATACATTGAGAAACCCAAAAACTCCACAGAAAAACTAATTGAACTAATCAATCAGTTTAGTAAAGTGGCAGGATACAAAATCAACACGCAAAAATCAGTAGCCTTCCTATACGTAAATGATAAATCTGAAGAAGAAGAAATAAAAAAAAAAATCCCTTTTATTATTGAAACAAAAAAAAAATCAAATACTTGGGAATAAACCTAACAAAAGAAGTACAGGGCCTATACAGAGAAAACTATAAAACACTTAAAAGAAAGAGAAGAAGACACAAAGAAATGGAAAGACATCCCTTGCTCATGGATTGGAAGAATTAACATTATTAAAATGGCCATCCTACCAAAAGCAATTTACAGATTCAATGCTATTCCAATAAAAATTTCAATGATATTCTTCAAAGAAATAGAACAAGTATTGATGAAATTCATATGGAAGCACCAAAACCCAAATAGCCAAAGCTCTCCTAAAAAAAAAAGAAAAAAAAAAAAAAAAGGGGAATGGAGACATCACACGCCCAGACTTCAAACTATACTATAAAGCCATAATCATCAAAACTGCATGGTATTGGAACAAGAACAGACACATGGACCCTGGAACCAAATAGAAAATCCAGAAATAAACCCACAGATTTACGGTCAACTAATCTTTGACAAAGGAGCAAAGAATAAGCACTGGAGCAAAGAAAGTTTGTTCAATAAATGGTGCTGGAAAAACTGGGTTGCTACATGCAAAAGAATGAAGCTTGACCACTAACTCACACCATACACAAAAATCAACTCAAAATGGATTAAAGAACTAGACATAAGACCTGAAACCATAAACTATATAGAAGAAAATATAAGCAAAACACTAAATGACATGTACCTCAAAGACATCTTTACAGACACATCACCCAAAGCAGTGATAGTGAAGGCAAAGATAAACAGTTGGGACTACATCAAATGAAAGAACTTCTGCACAGCAAAAGTGACAACAACCAAAACAAAGAGAAACCCCACCGACTGGGAGAACATTTTTGCACACAACACTAATGATAAAGGACTGATCACAAAAATCTACAAAGAGCTGATAAGACTCAAGAAAAACAAAGAAAATAATCCAGTCAAAAAATGGGCAGAAGAACTAAAAAGAAACTTCTCCAAAGAGGAAATGCAAATGGCTAACAAGCATATGAAAAAATGTTCAACATCACTTGTAATCAGGGAAATGCAAATCAAAACGACCATGAGATACCATCTTACACCAGTGAGAATGTCACATATTGAAAAAAAAAAAAAAAAACTAGCAACAACAAATGTTGGCATGGTTGTGGAGAAAAAGGAACTCTCCTTCATTGCTGGAGGGAATGCAAACTGGTCCGTCCACTATGGAGAGCTGTGTGGAGATTTCTGGACCTACTAAACATAGAGCTTCCATATGAACCAGCAATTTCACTCCTAGGTATTTACCCAAAGGACACTGAACATTAATTCCAAAGGGCACCTGCACGCCTATGTTTATAGCAGCACTATTTACAATAGCTAAGCTATGAAAACAACCCAAATGCCCAAAAATAGATGACTGGATCAAGAAGATGTGGTACATATACACAATGGAATATTACTCAGCATTCAAAAAAGATAAACACATGCAGTTTGCAGCAACATGGATGGAGCTAGAAGGGATCATGCTCAACGAAATAAGTCAGAAAGAAAATGAAAAATATCAGATGGTGTCACTCATAGCAGGAATTTAGAAAACTAAATAAGGGACCAGGAAAAATACTAATACAAAGTCAAAATCAAAATCAACAAGCAACTATAAACCAGACACTCCATGGCGGGGGATGGGAGGGAGAGGGAAGGAGAGAGAAGGACTAGGGTCAAAATAAGGGGGGTGCAATTGTATGGGGAATATAACCAAAGTGAAAATGCATACATTTTGTGCAAAAATGAAAATGATGTAAGAATTAATTTATATAAAATATTAATTAAAAATAAATGAAATGCAGAATAATCTGAAAGTACAGAAGGAGGAACTTATAGTACTTTATATAAAAATGTTGTGAGACTACAATAATTAAAAAGAGTTTTATATTATAAGCATGAACACATTTATCAACAGACTAGAATCCAGCATACCTATGTTATCATTTGATAACAATAAATTCATGCTGGTTAATTAATCCATTGAGTATGCAATTTTTTCACACTTTGTTTTGTGGGTGAAATTTTAATTTGCATTTGCAGGAATAAGTTTATTAGCTACATGTGAATATTCATCTTACTCAGATAATACAAATTTATGGCAACTCTCCTTATGCTCCTTTCTTTATTTACTTTTAAACAATGTAAATAACATGTTATGTAAATAACAATGTTATGTCTTATAAACCAAATAAAACAATTTTGATCCTCTTTTCCTGGCCCCAACTAAAAAGCACAAGTCAAGAGTGAAGTTGCTAGTGCTCTTGTCCTGAAGAAATTGTGTCCAGCAAAATGTTATTTGTGAAAAGGCAGCATTTTGGAAACTTGTTGCTTCTGGGGAAATCACTAACTTCAAAAAAATACTGACTTTAAGATTTAGGGAAGCTTTAAAAATCCCAGATCTTGGGGCCTCCCTGGTGGCCCAAAGAGTTAAGCATCAGTGCTGTGAAGCAATCTGAAGCTACTGCAGCATGAGTTTGATTCCTGGCCAAGGAGGTGACCCACATGGCACAGCAGAACTCTCCTGATTTAGCCACTGTTTCCCTCGCAGTATATTTCAGTCTATCGGTCTGTTCTCCCCACTCTGTTTCTGACGAATCCTCTAACCAACCCCCCACCTCTGGCCTGCACCCCAGCTGTTGGACGCATAAATAAATAAATTTTAAAAAATAAAAATAAGCCCCCTGTATCTCAGCAGATAAAGCTCTCAATGAAGTAAATTTTAACAACAATCTTTATTCTCCTCAATGCATAGAAAACAACAGCTAGATACACAGAGCACCTGCCCAGTTCCTTGATATATATGTGAAGACTTCGGAGAGAAGCTCCAAATTCAGACAGGATTTCAAAAAGTATATGGTGGTTGTTCTACATCTAAGTACTCAATTTTCTATAATAAAATCAGTTCATTTTAGCTTATCTAAATTTATCAGTCAACAGATTTCCCTTAGTATTTCTAACTTCACTCACAACTAATTCTAATAAAGTAAAAATCAAAATCAACAAGTAACTATAAATCAGAGACACATTACTGGGGTGGGGGGGACAAGGGAGTAGAATCAAAACAATGGTGGTGGGAAAGGTATGGGGACTATAACCAAGATGAAAATGCATACATTGTGCAAAAAAGGAAACATGATGTAAAAAAATACATAAAATTAAAAAATATTAAAAAAAATTGATACACATGACTCAACAAAAAAGGTAGGTTTTCCTTCTCCCAACAACCTTTCTCAGAGCTGCCTTTATGGCTTGATTTCTCAGGCTGTAGATCATTGGGTTGAGTGTTGGGGGCACAACTGTGTACATAATAGTGAGAAAAATGTCCAGTGCACTTGGAGAATCAGAAGGTGGCTTGAGAAACTCAAAGGCACTGGTGGAAATGAATAAAATGACGACAGCCAGGTGGGGAAGGCAAGTGGAAAAGGCCTTAGCTCTGCCTTCAGCAGATGGCATCCTCAGCACAGTAGAGAATATTTGGGTGTAGGACAGTCCAATAAGGGTGACACAAATAAACGACACAGGTGCCATGAATCCATTGACTGAGACTTCGCTGATATACTCATTAGAACAAGAGAGTTTCAGGAGCTGAGGGATGTCACAGAAGAATTGGTGAATGATATGGGAACCACAGAAGTGCATGGAAAAAGTGCCAGCTGTGTGCATGGCTCCAGAAATGACCCCACTGATCCAGATGCCTAAGACACTGTAGACACATTTGCTGACATTCATGATGATTTCGTAGCGCAGTGGAAGGCAGATGGCCACATAGCGATCATAAGACATCACCGTCAGCATGGATAGCTCAGCAGAACCACACAGAATGAAAGTAAAACACTGCACTATGCATTCCCCAAGGGAAATGTAGCCACTATGCATGAAAGAGTTGTAAATGGCCCTTGGCACAGTCACAGAAATGTAACACAGATCCAGGCAGGAGAGATGTTTCAGGAAGAAATACATGGGTGAGTGGAGACTATGATCCATGGAAATTGCAGAGATAATGAGGAGATTGCCAGTTACCGCCACCATATACAAGACTAAGAACAGAGAAGCATGGACTAGTTCTAGCTCAGGCTTGTCAGAAAATCCCGTTAGAAGAAACCCACTCATAGTGAGATTAGCCATAGTCCTTAGTTTTCCAGTGATGCTGGCTGCAAGAAAAAAATGGAACCATTGGGAAGAAAATTTCTGTTATTTAAATTCCTAACCCATCTTGGACTCATTGAATTTAGGCATGAAAACACTTGAAAAAGTCACCACTTCCTCTTAAATCATAAATCATATTGACAAATTTTAAATCATCTATACTTGGTCATGCCAAATGTGTAAGGAAGATTATAAATTTTAATAAGGCCTTTTTAATCAAATGTTAAGAAAAATGTGAGGATATAATAGAACAAATAAATTGCACTGCTCAAATACATAATTGTGTTAATAGAAATACAGAGCAGCAAATCTGGTTTATATAAAAAGCTCTATACAGTACATGCACTCACATTTACAAATGTTTCTTAGCTACCTATTCATTATCATTCATCATTCTATCTGTTCATATAGCACTCCAACCACATGGGTTTATTAGTGGAATTTCATAATAATATTAGTAATTATTACCAGCGTAAGTTAAGAAAATGCCATTTTTCATTTGCAAAGTTATTTCCTCCAAAAATAACAATATGAAATACAATTGAATAGTACCTATATAATAATTATATATAGGTCACCATTGTAATTAACATAAAATAACATAAAAATATTGAAAAATGTTAATTTTCCAAAAGATTCAATAACAACAGACTTTCCCCAGGATATTTGCTTAAGAAAATAACATAACTGATGCACACAAGAAAATATCATTTACTCTAATTCTTACTGAAAGAAAATGTAGACCAATAATGTGATATGATTTTGTACCTAACATATTAGTCAATAATAAAAAAGAAATTTCAATTCTATTATGAAGACCTCTAGTGGTAACATGTATCTGAAAGGTGTGGCCTAGAGCCCTAAGTTGTGTACAGTGTCACAAACCATGTTACTACATTAAAATTAAATAAATCAAGAAATAATAAATATGGTGTTTATTTTAAAAGTAGACACAGAATAAACTTAAAACATGAAGGCAATATGTTCAAACAGTGCATATTTTCTTCAAGAAGAAAATTATTTAGCAGAGATCCTAAATCATCTGAAATTAAACCATTGAGCATGATGTATATATGAGTTCAATGAATTCATTTGATGATTACAGTTAAGAAAACTATGTTCATTTAAAAGCATTGCAGTAGCAAAATCTATTGAGAAGCCTATAAAGGTGAACTTGAAAATTGTCATTATGAAGTATTTTTTCTGAGATGGGACCTGGCCACTATTTGGGTGACATAGGATGAAGGAAGATATTATATAAACTTTATGGTCTCAAAATACACAGAAGCAGAGAATAAAAAAGTATAAGTAATTAAAAGACATAATAGTAGTAATTATTTCTCAATGATGAGTAAATGTGTTATTGCTCCTTTATAGATTTGTTATCCTGACCTGAAACACTTGGTAAATGATTCTCCATTTTAATTTTTCAGGCTGAAATCCATGATGCACCTGCAATGATTCTCTGAGAAGCTGAGGGAGATGGATGCTTCCAGCTTCTGTAGTATACTATGCCAATTAATTGGGAAGTTATTTAAGTCTGAGCTGGATGGAAATGACTTGGTATAGATGAGACATCCCCTTGCACACACAAGAAAATTTATTTAAATTTTGGGTCAGTCTTATTCTGTGTGTGCTGTGTGTATGTGTGTGTGTGTGTATCTGGGTGTGGCCCACTAGAGTTTTAAAATACCTTTAAATTAATGCTGGTAATTTTATATCTAAGCAACAATGAATAGAGACTTTGAAGATGACATTTGACTTTTCTAGAGATTATAAAGGCACACCTACTCATCAAGGCAGATGAGGTGTATTGAACCTCCAGAAGCTTCCATTTCTGTGTCTGGGAAAATGTTGCTTAATTTTGGTTTAGAAAAACAAAAATGTCTCCATTCCACATTCATAAAAGCATTGCATGATTTACCCAAAATTATTTAAAAAAATATTTACCCAAAATTATTTTACCTAAAAGTAAAAGTCAACTTGCCACATTAGGGTTACATGGCTCTAGCTAAGACTTGCTTTATATAATGTTGCATTTATTGTCTGTGATACCAGCAACTACTACAGAAAAAAAAAATGAAGGGATTTGAATTGTCTCTTTTGCTGAGTCTTTAGAATTATTGCAAGATTTTTTCCCTTTATGACTTATCAGTTTAACTAAGAATATAATGTTGCCCTTTTTTAGTTTAATGAAATTCCTAACTTTAGTGCTGAGCAAAATTTTACATTGGTTTTATGACTTTAGTTATACCATTTCAGTGTCCACAGATTATTTCCTTATTATAAGTTGAGATATTCAAAATCTAAGATCTCTATCACAGTTTAGGAAATCAATATTTCTGAACGTTGCAGTTTAGTGTTTAGGTGGATATAATGTTTCTAAAACATAGCTAAAGTCATTGATAACTGTATTGTGATTATGTAATGATTTTGCATGCTATTTTTTGTAAATACTTTTCTCTATAATACTGAAATAATGACCATCCACATGTCCATTTCAGAATTTCTTGAATTTTCTCTAACTCAGAAGCAATCAGAAGACTTGATAACTGATTATGATATGACGCATTGTCTCTGCTTATGCTCTTCTAGTCTATGATTTCTTTAAATGTTTAACTTTGTGGAGATGGAAAATGTAAATATTTTGCTCTGATTAAAATATCTGATTCATTCTTAGTTTTTATATTTTTCTACCAGATTTCAACAATTTATCTGTAATCTTTGATGTGGAAAGCATCATTTAGCTCTTATGAGTTTTAAATAATATGAATACAAGAAATATCTGACAGTATCATATCATCATACAATCATGCTGCATTATTTCTATGATGTTATCTAAAGAAAGACATTGCTAGGGAGGTGAAAACTGCACTCCACAATGTTTTCTCACCCATTCAAAACCAGTAACTTAGTGCTTTCATCTTTCTGTGTAATTTGTCTTTTCAGAACCTAAGGAAACTCACCAGAGCATATCCAAGAACTTCTATCTTCAACAGAAGGAGAAGATGTCAGTGTGAGCAGCTGATATTTAACTCAAAGTTAACCTCTGAATTCAGTAACATTCAGAACAGTGTGAACTTTGAAGAAAAAATAAGTCCATTTCAATCCTTCTTTGGTCTCTGGAGGTTAGACTATGCAATCTAAGCACAAGCAGAATGTCTTGTTTTTGTGGGTATTTGGTATTCTGGGTAAATACCCTGGGACCAATATACCCTGGGATGCAGTTTCACTCATTGTTTCTACAGAGTATTTTCTATTGAGTTTCTTTACTGAATACACATAGTTACCTGGAATTTCAGTGTAGGTGTGTTAACTGGTCAAATTACTGGGAAACTGTTCTAATCTTCATGTTAGATTCATAAATATACAACAAAAAGTCTTAGTTCTAGTTATCAGATCATTAAGTTAATTAATAACCAGTTAAGATTATGCTGTCTAATAGACATGTCCGTTATCTGAAAAGGGTTAATTCACAATAATGACTACCAATGATGCAGCTAAATTCTCCCTAATCTTTACACTAAATGCCAATCTAATTCCACTTAGAGTGAAGTAGTAACAAATAGCCATTTGTAAAAATCCTGAGTGTGTGGTCCATGTTTTCTCTAGCACAAAAATAATAATTATTAAAAATAACCTGATTGTTTCGAGGTTATATTATATTCAAATTAGAAGAGGTGACACTGTGTATTCAATTATTACAAACCATGTTTTATCCCAGGCTCTGATTTCAGAAATGTGAGCTTTTCAGCCTTAAAAAAAAGCCATAAAATAGAACTCAGATAGTTTCCAGGTAAACTATCATTTTAAAACAAAGTTGTAATTAATGATCAATTCATCTACATTTGTAATCTAAGAATAGCAAACAAGGGTTTAAGTTATTCATTCAGCACATGTATCTGTCTGAACTGGAAGAAAAAAATCTCCTCTATTAATTAATAGAAAAAATGAAAACAAATTTATAGGTTCTGAAGACATGGGACAAAAAAGCAGTAAGTCTAAAAAAAACATAATATAAAAGTATATAGGTTTGTAAGCTGTTGAGCTCATATCTGGCAATCAGATTAAGAATGTATAAAAAAGAAAATTTTTAGAATCTTTCAAATATTAATATCTGAAATATAGTCATGTATAAGCAGGACTAGATCTATCCTTTCACATATTATGAAAATAAATAGTAATGTCATAAATAGCAGAGGAGATGTAGCTCAAAGAGTAAGAATGATAAAATATTTCACCTTTAAGTAGTAAATTGGAGTCTTAGAGATACACTGAGGCCCTACAACTGTTCATGACAGTTATATGGAAGAGAAAAGACACATGGAATTTGTTAGAATGTTGACCACCATAATCTCTAAAATATTTTCTAAATATTCTCTAAAGTTCATTGAGTTTCTAATAATATCTAAACCATCAACATGAGAACTCAGTGAAGTTAGGTATGAAATCACCAGAAATTGCCACATCATTATAAATGAATAAATAGTTCTATAAACTAATAATCTTGTGCAATTTTCAATGACTTTGGCTCAGTCATGGAAACCTAGGTAAGGAAGATCATAAATTTCATTATTTCCCATTTCAATCAAATGAAAAGAAAATGAATGAATATAATAAATATTATGAACTGTATTTTCAAATATATACTTTTATTAATTGCACTATGGACCACTGAATTTTGATTTACATTAAAGATTTTACAGTCCATACACTCATATTATAAAGGTTTCTTAGCTACTCATTCTAGTCTAATCATAATCATTCTATCTATTCATACATCACGCTGACTACCAAGGTTTTATTATTGCAATGTAATATTTTCAGTTATATATGAGGAAAATATTCCTCATTTTTATATACTTCTAATAGTTACCATTATGAAATGCCAAAATAATAGTACCTATTCATTACATAATTATGACATATAAATAACTTATTAACAAAAAATATCATAAAAATTGATCTGAAAAATACTG